ACAAGGCAGATAAAATTACTGCTCTACATATACTGACATCCAACAAGGTAAATTGAATTACTGCTCTACATATACTGACATCCACCAAGGCAAATTGAATTACTGCTCTACATATACTGACATCCAACAAGGTAAATTAAATTACTGCTCTACATATACTGACATCCACCAAGGCAAATTAAATTACTGCTCTACATATACTGACATCCAACAAGTTAAACTAAATCACTGCTCTACATATACTGATATCCAACGAGGCAAATTAAATTACTGCTCTACATATACTGACATCCACCAATACAAATTGAATTACTACTCTACATATACTGACACCCACCAAGGTATAACTGCTCTACATATACTGATATCCACCAAGGCAAATTGAATTACTGCTCTACGTATACTGACATCAACCAAGACAAATTGAATTACTGCTCTATATATACGTACTGACATCCACCCAGAAAACGAATATACTTTTCTACATACTGACATCCTCGGAGGCAACTTTTGAATTGATTGCTGCTGCACATGTACATATGATACTGACAACAACTGATGCAACTTGAATTACCGACCTACACATTTGCGCTTTATAAGTATGTGCTAAATGCATCAAAAATGAAAACATCATTAGAACATTAGTGTAAATAGAGCATTAGGATAAGAATGAACTGACGGGCCTAATAGTTTCAAGTAGCCACGTGATGCTAACTTTTAAGTTGTGTTGCTTTACATAGATGATAAGATGATAAATAAATTCCTTTTAAATAATAAGTGGTAAGAATGAAATTACATTTCTAATCACCCAGAATACTCCATTTGCTAGCGTGCTCTTTTTATGACTTTTTGAATACCGATGGAGATCAAACAAAAATAATCAAGTGTTATTATAGGCGTACAACAGGTGATTCTCACAGTGTATGACTACTTGAAATGGTAAGTATGTCACTTCCACTCTCGTTTTCATGTTTTTATTATATAGATAGGTAAGATTGTTTCGGAGGCCTAGTTAACCAGCTCATCAATGCAAGTATATAGTTGGTTATGCTCGTTGCCATGGTTACGTAGGTTGGCATACTGGTGTGCACGTTGCCATTGCTACGGAGTCTGAGTAAATAACGAGCACAAAACTTTTGATAGTGTATTTGTAGTAGTAAATAAATTGACTACTTTCTACTTTACCTTTTTCTCGATTTCAGTGTGTTCTGATACTGAATGGAGATTCTTCAATTTTTTCACTCGTTTTGCACAATATTTTCAGAGTAACTATAACATTCATTTCCTCATAAGTTATAAAAAATTCAGATGTCGGTAACAAATATTTCTGAAGTTATGGTTACTATGGTAACCTCAATATCGATATATAGCGGGACAGTTATGTCCCACAGTCTCATGTCTGCTCAGTAGTGTTGTTGCGATGTGCCATAATCGTACATCGATGCATCGGTGTGCAAACGTTTAATGACCCCAATTAAATCGAATATGAGCTGGGATGTAAGATCTCAAAAAATCCTCAATTCTGCCCTATCAAGTCCAATGTGACTGTTGAATTTGTCCTATGGAGTCTCATCGAGTCTAACCTTGCTCCACTTATGCCTCGATCATTTTGATTAACAAGTTACCTGATCAAAAGTCCCACGATGCCCCATTAAAAGAACAATTAAAAAAAGTACAATTCCTTTGCGTGGAGTACATATTTTGAATTTCATCATTTCTCAATCAATGAACTTCAAAGGAGGTCTTGCTTACTGGAAACTTCGTTCATGTACAAAAACAAAACATTGCACATCATACCAAGTACAGTGTACGATGTAAATCGGAATGTATCTAGATTAATGAATTATTTTGTTAATTCAAATTATTTCTTTGAACCCAACATTCAAGGAGAACACGATGGGCGACTGTCGATCTATAACATTTGAATATTTCCCCGATGTATTGTTAACAATGTGACCATATTTCAAGGTGGGGGAGAACTAAAAATCGTTCACAGACGACCAAGTATGAAACTACACCTACCTATTTTTTATTAAAAAGGTGAACTCTTCGAAAATACCATACGCGTTTCCGCCCCCTGCCTGTGATAATTTAGATTTGACGTCCGAGGTTAGCTCTATTAACACATGTCTCAGACTGTACGAGAGAAGGGTGTGTTGAGTAATATATCAGGTAAAGGTGGCGTGAAGGACGTAATGGGAATATATAGGTAAACCGGAAGCCATGGTGAAAGAAACTATTGTACGTAATTATAAAAATTAAATATATTATCTCCAGGGCCGTCAGATGGGGGGTGCGATGGGTGCGACCGCACCCCCCTTTGTCACCTCCCAAAATAAATTTGAAAAAAATATTTTGAAAACTTTTTTTTTTTGAAAAATATTTTTTTTGTAATTTTTTTTATTGACTCTTACACTTTGAAAGTACCCAGAAAGCACAAAATAGCATCTTAAAATTGTAAAGTTTTCTAGGGGCATTGGCCACCCCTCACACCCCCCACAAAACAATGGAAAAGTTCTAAATTTATTTTAGTGTTTTGTCTCAGACACTTTTAAAGTGCCCAGACATCATCAAATATCTCCTTGATATAGTAAGTGTTTCTGGGGGACTTGCTCCCCCTCTTGCATCTTGCACTTGCATAACCCCCCCCCCCCCTCTGGAGCCCCCCCCCCCCCCCTTGACCCCCTCCCCCCAAAAAATTGTGATTTTCTCAAATTCTTTAATTGACTCATACACTTTGGAAGTGCCCAGAAAGCACCAAATAGCGTCGTAAAATTGTAAAATTTTCTAGGGGGAGTTGGCCACCCCTCACACCCCAAACAAAACAATGGAAAAGTTCTGAATATGTTTTATGTATTGACACTTTTAAATTGCCCAGACATCATCAAATAGCTCCTTGATTAAGTTAATGATTCTGGAAGACTAACACTTACTCGCCCTCTGGCATCCCCACTCCACCCCCCCTCCTCTGGCAGCCTCCCCCTAACATCCCCTTTGAAAGTGCCCAGAAAGCACCAAATAGCACCTTAAAATTGTAAAGTTTTCTTGGGAAATAGGCACTTTTAGGCACAGACACTTTTAAAGTGCCCAAACTTCATCGAATAGCACCTTGATATTGTAAATTTTGATATGGTGGACAAACATTTGCTCCCCTCTGGCACCCCAGCCCCACCTCCCCCTCTGGCACACCCCCCCCCCTTTGACACCCCCAAAATTTGAAAAAAATTGTGATTGTTTTTCAATGTTTTTATTGACTAATACACTTTAAAAATGCCCAGAAGCACCAAATATCATCTTTAAATTGTAAAATATTCTAGGAGAGTTAGCCACCCCTCACATCCCCCACAAAACAAAAGAAAATATTCTGAATTTCATGTATTGTCTCAGACATTTTTTAAGTGCCCAGACATCATCACATAGCAAGGTCAATGTTTCTGGGGGACAACCCATTGCTCCCCTACTGGCACCCCACCCCACTTCACCCTCTCATCCACTTTGACACCCCCAAAAGAATTTGAAAAAAAATTCACATTTTTCTTATTGACTCATAACGCACAGGCGTACCAGATGGTTGCAAAATCACTCCAAATACAACCAAATTTCAAAATGTTCCTGGGGAAGGACCCCAGACCCCCCTGAATGCTCGGTTTTTATTCACTCAACTCTTATTCCCGTGGTGGTGGCGTACTACTTGGAAACTTACACTTTGAAAGTGCCCAGAAAGCACCAAATAGCATCTCAAAACTGTAAAATTTTCTAGGGGGAGTGGACCACCCTTCACGACCCCCACAAAACAATTGGAACGTTTTGGAAGTTGCATTTGTTAATTCCAAACCAATATAGAGAGTAACTGACCCCCCCCCCCCCCCATCTGACGTACGCGATTTGATTTACACGGCAAAAAAATTGACTATTTTATATTCTCTTTAGTAAGCTAAAAACCGCACCCCCCTTGGAGAAAAGTGTCTTACGGGCCTGATCTCTGATGGGTATTAGTAAGACTGGATTAAAAGATTATCCCGAAGTGGAGTGCAGATGAAGCTTTCTTTTAAAATCATACTATAGGAAAGAGTATCGTCAGTTTGTTACCAGCATTACATGATAAATATTAGGAACAATCATTACATAATAAATATAAGAAACAATTAAACAATAACCCCTCACCTTCTGAGAACACAGCTTGTATACAAAATTGATAAATTCTTATTTTTATCCGGCAAAGTTCATAAAGTTACTTGAACAAATTAAAAAGAAGAAATTCGATTCCAGAGTCTTGGAGCCGTGCCAACTAATTATACTTTTAGATGTTCTTCCATTCACGATCTAAAGGATCACTATCTACAGTAGAATGTTTAAAGATTTGCAATGGAATTTGCATTGCCCATATAATAACCAGATGGAGAGTTTTAAAACGGGATTGAAACAATATTCCAAGACTTAAAAGCTCTTATATCTTCAATTATTAAGATGTAACACCCCACTTATGACTTTTCAGCTGGTTACATAAATCTCACAAAATGGTGGCTCTATAATATCCAAAGGTGTGTTCCTGGGATTGCAAGTTGTAAAAGTGCTCTCGTGCTGGGTGGGGATTTGCTGTGTTATTAATTAATTAGTTGAGTTGATATAATCATCATCAACGCTGTTAGGATAAACACGTCAATAATATAATACTGATATTAATAATAAAATCACACACTGTGAGGTTCTGAAAGACTTACACCCTGAAGTTGTGATATATGATTCTTACACAATTAATGAGTTCTTTGGTCGTTACGTGCGGGAGAGTAAGATCAGACTTGTTATGAGTTGATGGCGTATTCGCCCTTGTGTTCAGAGGGCATAACACCGGTCTAACATGAAGGCCGACTGGTAAACAGAATCATTAAAACTAATAAAACGTTTATTACCTACCTACTGTATTAAATGGCAATGGTATTTCATTTTTAATGTGACCACTAAAAAGAATTAGGTTTGTTGATAGGAAAACGTTAACTTACATTATAGAGTCTTGCACTGTACTTCAGGTCTTACATCCAAGTTAACGCCTCGTTTTCGACAAACCGTCGTGCCAGAAATTTATTTCAGTTGCAGTGTTACCTCCAAAATTATAGAAAAACAATATTTTGGCATATAATCCAAATTGATAAAATCCTTAATTTGTGAATGTTTTTCTAGTCCCTGATTTAATAAGGAATGCTGAAGAACCCTTTTCGGGTGGCAGTGATTTGAAAAGTTGATTCCCAGACCTTCAGAGTGTTCGGTAGTATTCACAAACCAAGGTAACAAAATCGATGACGTAGACGAAAAGGCTCATAAATTCGCTTGGAACACCAGAACATAACAAGGTATAAAAATAGAAAGGTCATATAGTTTCTCCCGTTCGTGTTGATTTGCCGGCAAGATGTTTGCAAGGAAAATCTTGTAGACGGTTTCTTTGGCCAGGAAAACCGCATTAATTACCAGAGCCAAAGCAACGGGTAGGGAGGCATAGTTGATTGAACATAGTGGGTTGCAGGAACAAGATAGACGGCACACCTGGAGGCATCGCAGACTGACTATAAGAAAGCCTGAATAAAGCAACTTAAAAAGAAATTATCAATCCGTAGACAAAATACGTCAATAATTGTATATTTGATAAAGATAAGCATAAAATAACACGCGTTCATTGAAGAACGTCTAAAATGCAAAATTTTGTTGATATCAATATTATGGCGATATTTGGCCTCAGTTTTTACATTTCTTGCAGTCTTACAAATGTCTGATGTGTTTGCCATATATGTGCATTCAAAGCCAACTACAGCTAACCAATTTGAAACCCGAGCATTCTGCCAGAATCAACCTGTGTTCAGAGTAAGCGGGACTCTATAGCAGAATCTATGATAATCTTACCTATACCTACTTCTACTTTTCAAACAATTTGAAGAAACAAAAAATGTATTGCCGATTCCCATTCTATTTTATACAAAAACAACCAGAGGCGAATTCAAAATTGATTTTACATTGTTTTCTTCATTGCAGCTCAAATTAATCAAATGATTGCTAAAGATGCGCTGATATTAATAGTTACCGCACCTGGGTTGTTAATATTGAATGCAAAGCTTCTTACGCATGTTTCGGATTCCAAGCCGTTAGAAAATCGAAATTTAGGCAGTGTTAAAAATGGAGAGCAACTTTTTAATTTCAAGATTTGAATTTAAATCATTAATTCTGACTTCTATCATATTCGGCACAGTTGACTGCTCCAAATAGCTCGCACCTTTATTCAGAGATACATAGAGTTTAACATTTCATGTGTTTGTATCATAGATCTTTTTATAGATGTACAGAGCCTATATAGGTTGAAAACATTCTTTTCTTCATCATACAACTTGTACACTGTACATACTATTTGGGATGGCATTAGTACACAACACATTGGTTGCAATATTGGTTAATTTATTGGCCTTCTATCATGTCTATACCTTGATTTATAAGGTTGCAGATGTTCCAGCCTCAGCAGTGTAGGAATAGCTTAGATGCCACTTGGACAAATTGGCCGATCTCGTTTAGATTTAATGGTTTAGATTACAATGGCAGGGTAGAACACCTATTTTAAGCACAACCAGCTTTCAAGCTTTACGATTTGTGTGATTGAACAGTTGGTGTGTTGTTTATTACATATTGGTGTGTCATATTCATATATAATAATAATAATATAATGTCAATATTCATATTGGTGTATATGAAGTTTGTGTGTCATTTATAAATAGGATATTCGATGTCTCAGTGACAGGCTGAGTTATGTTTGGTGTGTTATTTATCGGTTGTATTGCTTGATGTGTCAGTTATTGGATATAAGGCGTTTCGTTTATTGGTGTGTCATTTCTGTTGCGGTTTCGTGTATTGTTTAGTATATCTGTTTAGTGTATTGTGTATTTGATATTTGGTGTGTCGCCTCATTTGTCACTAGTTTTCAATGATTCACTGTACTTTTTCGATTTACAGTCTTAACTATGCAGTAACGGGAGCTTTGAGCTTTTCATGATGGTCCGCTCATTGGCATTCCGGCGAAAAGTTTCGACCCTAAATGTGTTATTAAGATAATCCGAGAGTAAAACTCAACATGAAAACAAAATTGACAATTCCTGTTCATAATGGAATCCTCAGATACCTTACTTTACATGGTATCATGACGTAGCCTAGGTATCATGATAAAATGTTTGAAAGTGAGCAAAGCATATATCACTACATACAGGTTCTTGCAGGATTGATTTATCAATATAGCTAATAGAGAAAAGTTGCAAAAGATGCAAGTTGCACGTTCACACCGGAATAGCCTGACAACGGTAGAGTCAGATACCGTTGTCACAAATGGCGGACACAACCGTCGTTTCGACTCTTCAATCACTTGGTCCTCGATTCATGGGACTTTATCGTCGCTAATTCTGTGCACATATTTAGCTCTTGTGATAATGTATCATATGAAATCCCAATTTCTATCAAATTGGGCCGTGAATCGCCACAATATATAGCTTCTTCGATATCGTCAATGACAACGGAATCTGAATTTCAAATAATTTACAAAAACAACGGCATATGGCAATACAGTGTCCGTTGTCCCGTATCTCATTTTGATAGGTTAAATTAAAGACTTTTTTCGATGGTAGAACATTATTAACTAACTACAGTATAAAGACACTTTGATTGTTGTTCCAAAGGAATTTAGTCTAGGTGCTCTATCAAACATACAGTTCATGAAAATCTAATTGAAGCGACGGTTATGTCCGCCATTTGTGACAACGGTATGTGACTTTACCGTTGTCAGGCTATTCCGGTGCGACGTTGTGAAGAAGGAGGAACGAGGATTCTGTAATCCAGTGTGTGGCGTTCGAAGGATGACGTTGACATGGATTGAAGACATTTAGCGAACCAACGTGTTTTAAATAGCAACGTATTCACATTGATTAAATAAATACTGAGAATTATAGAGACGTCACTCATCAACATGTATATTCTTATGTACAGAGTGTATGTATACCGATTTTTGATAAAGTAGTATTCTTTTGAAAGGATTTTTCTCATAGACCTATTATACAGATATGTTTTGCGTGGTGTTAGCTTATTAATACCATCATTTGCAAGTACAGTAAATGTATCCCTTATTCGACTTAGTTCTGGTGCCTACAATCGCCCAAATATATTTATTTTGCAAGGGAGCCTTGCATTATACTTATGTTGATGAAGAAGTGTGAAGGGCAGTTATATTTTCCTCGTTACCTATAGTATCCAAGAAGTGTAAGCTTAATAAACCAGATAACATACCGAATCTTTACCTTTTCTTTTGGGGACAGCGTAATCGGGCGTCGATCGACAAACGCATCCTCCCTCCCCTTCCCCAACACATGCACTCTATGGAGACAGAGCCTGTGAGAAATATTGGGTGCGGAATGAATGAGCGGATGGTGCGGATTTAACTTTAATTTTTGACATTTCTGAAACTCAGCAATTTTTGGTCCTCAAATATATCCATATGTGTGAAGTTGACACCTAATATCAAAAATATTGTGAAAATAGTGATGTATTGCATTCTGTAGCGACGGACTATGCATTATACCTTTTTTGGCACAAATATGAACGTATTTCCTAGTATGTATAGAAGTTCGCAGTTGACGTGGCCCAAGCACTCCGGTCCCACAACACAAATAATCTTATCTTATCTTAAATAATATCATCGAAGGATAAAGTGTTTTATGTTTATTGAGCTTTTCCACAACAAATATTTAGAGGGGGCTCATATCTGATGAAAATTTCCTGTTTTTTATAAAATCTCAGGGAAACAGTCTGGCTTCCAAGATGCAAAAATAATTTGTATGTATAGTGTATCTTGAACAACATTTACATGAATGCTGGGGACGCTGTTTCAAAATATATAATGTCTGGGAAAGGTTCAATGCATATTGCTCCGCTATAGAATGAATTACACTATACTAGTACTATTATCACAATTTTATTGATATTATATATATAGGTGTCAACCTCACACATGGATATATCTGAAGACCAAAAATTGCTTAATTTCAGAAATATCGCAAATTCAAATATGATAGTACATGTAGTTAAATCGGCACCATCCGCACATTCGTGCCGCACCCAATATTTCCCACATGCTCCGTCTGCATAGGGTGGGTTGCAACACTTGTCATATAAGTATTTAAAACAATAAGTCACTCAATTTATCATTCTTCAATACACCCAAGTGAAATGGTCTTGATTTTCATTAATATTCAATACTTAACCCCCCTATCACACCAAACTCGTTCTTACCCGTTCTTGCCAGTCCTACGAAAACGTCGTAAAACGGGCTCAATCTGGCTGTGGTCGGGAAATATGTCTGAAATAATTAGCTTCTTCGTTCTTAAACAGTCTTCAATACGTCCATCTCGTTCGCAGTTCGTTCAAGTCGCATCACGACGGTGTGCAACGCCGTAGAACGCGTCCCTTAGTCTAGAAGGTCATCATGACCTGATAACAGAACGGTATGGTCGCAATCGAATTTTGAATCGATTCAAAATTCTAAAATCACATTCCCGTCTGAGAACGTTCATGAAGTTCGTAAATAGACCTTAGAAAGTTGCAGGTACGTTCATTCCGTTCGCACACAGTTTAAAACCAGTTTTGAAGAACGCAGGGGCAACTTGTTTGGTGTGATAGCTATATTTTTGCTAACTCGTTCATAAGCAGTGTTAAATACGTTCTTAATCAGTTTAAACCCGTTTGCAATGAGTTCTACCTCGTTCTCAACACGTCCTCGGACAGTTCAACTCGTTGTTAAAACGTCCCTAGTAGGATTGAAGTACGACGGTTCCGTTCGTAGTACGTCCCGCTCGTCGTTAGTACGTTGTCACTCGTTCTAATTGTAGAACGTGACGACCACGAGAACATTTTGAGCATTGTCTAAGTTCTAGAGGACCTACCCGTTCGAGTACGTTCGATGAAGTTTCTAAATGGATCCCAAACGGTTCTTAGTACGTCCAGTCCGTTCGTACACAGTTGAAGCCCGTTTTCGAGAACGTAGTGAGAACTAGTTTGGTGTGATAGTAGGGTTATCAAACATATCATATTTATAATCTAAATATAAAATTACATTCTAGAGGTTTAAAAATTGTTTATCAACTTGTGATTTTTAAATCGGGTAGATCCCCCATAGAACCCATGTTTTAAAATCACGAAACGTGATACATTTTTTCTTGTACTTGTGTTCAGTAATTGGACGAAAAATAGTTTCTTTTACGGGACATATTTTTACACAATGATCAAACTGAAAAGGTAATATGAATATTGCTCCATAAATCTAATGAATATTGATGTCTAGAGGAACTTTGTAATATAATTACGATCATCGTTGTAATACCTTATTCACATTTGATCTACGGCAACCGTACGGCGGTCGTAGCTTCCCAAAATCGAGAGAAATATGCAAAATGAAGTATTACGATGTTGAATTTCTATATCGATTTTGTGAGGCTTAAGCCGCCGTACGTATGGCGAAGAGCAAATGTCACAGAGGCTTAACATGAACATTATCGTAGCCTGAGCGCAGAGGTTACCTGAAGGTATACAATACGAAGCTCTCTTTTAAGAAGCGAAGTCGAGCCAATGGAACAGGTAATATTATCGTGATCAATCCATTTATTTTCCTCATGCTGGTTCCATTATGTCGTGATGGTTACTTGTATATCCCTGACATAGGAATAACATTATCAACACTAATCACGTTTTGACACATTATACTTTATCACTTATATTTCAGTGATAAAATTTTAATCAATTATGACTAATTGAATTCGTGAATTCAGGAAATGAGCTTTAGAATATTCCTGCTAGGAATCAGATTACACAATTAAAACATGACTTGTTACACTGGGATACAGGACATGTAGTACTAGTTACATTTTTTGTAATAGATGCTACTAAAGTTCATTTGGCTGTTTCATTGCATTTGTAAAACCTAGAAAATAAGGAATCAAGACTTTAGTGCCATAATCATTATATGGAAAAATATGGTCATATTGTACACATGTGACATTTGTAAACATGTATCTAAGCTAGATTGCTTGTAATTTGACTTATAAAATATGTGGCCTCTCATATTTTGATGCTTCTTGGTCATGTTATTTCCTAAATTTTAACATGGCAGACAGTGCTTAAATTACAGACTTGTTGCACAAAAAAAACTAAATAATCTGAATGATTTTACATAAAGACACCAGTGCATTCACTTTATCATCTGTCTAGAAGAGTGTTTTATAGACCCTTTTATTGTGCTCATTATTTCTAATCGCATTGTGAGATATAGTAAACCAAAACAGGAAAGCTGTAATTAGTTAACAGTTTTTATTCATTCCTATTTCTTTATTTACACATTTCAAATGTTAAGTAGAACAAAATGTGTTCACCAAATAAATGTTTTACTACACTGTGTACACACAACAATCGAAAATCAAACTTACAATACTAGTATACTTCACAGTTTCTGTGTTTGTAATCAAATTACTTTGGCAAATATAGATGTCATAATGTCTCTCAACAAGTTTTAAAGCACATTGTGCTTAGACTCAGTGTCACAGTTGCTATTTAAACCATAGTTCAAATCATCAATCACTAGATTAATAATCAAATCTGCTAATCATTCAATGCCTAAGATGAATTTTTTTAATCTGTGTCTGATCCTTTCTTTTCTAGAGACTTCAACTTGCCAAGTTTCTCCTTATGGCGGGCAATGGCTTCCTGGAAGTAAAGATTTAAATGTACATACAATTATGCAAGTAGTCGCTATTATACATACAAATAAGCCCCTTATTCGACATACAAACAAGACCCTTATTTTATTAGGAATCAAATACTGGATAATTCAATGTACACATTATTTCTGGTGTCTATTATAACTAATATTTCTCTCCAGATTATATCAATAAAAGTGTAAAGCAGGACTTAAATTTACACACAATGAAGCTAGCCATGCAAGGTTGCAAAATGTGCAGATAATATGACTTAAAAATGTGACTTTTAACTTAAAATGTTTACAACTGATTTTAAAGTGAACTTTCTCAATTTTTCAGGTGTTTTGGAAGCGTCTCACAAAAATTGGAAGCTCCGCCACCATTGTAGCAAAGTACCTGATGTCTTTGAATTTCCGTTTCATGGTTATCTACTTCTTCTTTGTGGTGGTCATGCAATGCTTTAAGCTGCTCTTGTTGCTAAAACACACATTACATGCAGAAAATCTGCAGTTAATAAGCTTCTACTTCAAGCTAAGCAATCAATGTAGTGGATATCATGGATAAACAGCAAATTAAGATATCTACATCAATAAAGATACAGGTTACATCATGCGACAGAAAGGCTCTACATGCAAAATTAACTAGATAACAGCAACACCAAGGTGTAGCAAATCCCACCGAACATATATGGCTGCTATTTTTGAAAATGGCCACATATTAGCCAAATTGTCACTAGACAGTTGTAATATGTAATGCTTCTAAGTATTCACAAATGAAATATCAACAAAACTACTCAACTACTTTTCCAGTTTAAGCAAAATGTAAAATAGCTCTTTAACACATAACAAAATTATTGCGATTAGCCACATGACATAAAAAGTGTCGCTCCACTACTTTTTAAAATGGCCACTCACAATCCAAATTTTTAGACCGTGTGTCATGCTATTGCTTATGAGTATTCACATATCAAAATATTGTAACATTGAAACTAAAATGGTGGCCACGTGGGGATGGATGAAACTGTTCTCAATGTATATCCCCACAAACTTTGTTCGGTGGGATAACAAGTACAAAGAAGTCAGCCTCAAGGCATCCTCCAAGTAAGACATAAGACAATATTAGCTAAGCAGAAATCTAGGCACACGATTCAGCTAGCTGCTCTGTGGGGTTGCTGCAACAAAGGCTAAGCATATGCACAGTAGAGAACCTCCCAGCTTATTCACATAGAGGTATTAGTGCACAAACAATTGACCAAACAACATGGGAGACTTATATAATCTCGGATTGTTTCTTCACTGTCTAATTAGCTTCAGGACCCCTATAGATGATGCTTTGTTGCAGACAGATTGTTTGCCAAGTAATGAAGTGTTTACGGCAGCAGAGTGTTGCAACATCTGAGATTACTCAATCCCATTGTTGTGCGGTCTGATCACATTCTAACATGACTCAGCTATTAGCCTAATTAAACTGGCCCTTTAAGGATACTGCCACAATAACACATATCATGTGATTGAAAAAATATATTCAGGACAATAAATTTTTTGATAGATTCATAATCAAATAAAGTGGAATATTTACTATAATACAATCTATGCACTCTGCTTAAAATCAATGTACATATAAGTAATAGTAGTTTTCCCAAAATGAAAGTAAACATCTTTAATGTGGAGGATTAATAATGCCTAGGAGTCATGATAGAATGTGAAAATAAATTAACTAGAAATAATTAGGAAGCATTGTTGTTGTGTCTCCATGTGAGCCAGTAGACTGTTTCTACCTCATGATGCTTGATGAGTTCCTGGTGGGACTGGATCTCAGTTATATGTTCCTTTTTTAAAGACTTCAGTTGTTCAGTTTGCTGTCCAAGTGAGAAATAAAGAAAATTATTTATAAAGATGGCACCACGATTCAGTAGACAAGAAATGTAGGCCAACAACGGAGGACTGTGTTCCAGGTGTATTATGCTCCTTTTTTAAAAATTTTGCTTGTTCAGTATGCTGTCCAAGTGAGAAATAAAGAAAATCATTTATAAAGATGGCACCACGATTCAGTAGACAAGAAATGTAGGCCAACGACGGAGGACTGACTCCAAGTATTCTAGAAATATGTTCTTTTCTTAATAAAGACTTCAGTTGTACAGTTTCAGGCCTTGCTATCCAAGTGAAAAATATTAAAAATTATTTATAAAGATCATTCATAAGAAAATAAATCTAGTTCCAGTGAAGGAGGATTGGCTCCCAGTATTCCATCTCGATATTCTGCCATATATGGAGTCATGTAGTGATAAAAAAATTCAAAATTAAACAACCGCCATTTTTTCACTTCAGAATTTGGATCCACAGTTTTGAACTCATTTCAAAACACACAAAATCAAAGTGATCAAGATATTAGTTTAAATCTTTTGGATTGCTACTTTGATTTAACAGCCAGTTATAACACGACTTTTTCATTGTCCCTATCGCTAGAATATCACTCATTCTCTTTGCAGCCGGAGAAAAATGCAGGCACAATCAGCACTGAGCAAATTGCTTGGAGAGTTAGAACCCTGGGAGCCAATCCTCCTTGAGGTACAGTGCGGTATTTAGTATTCTGGATTTTCATGATGTTTACTGCCTAAGGAAGATAGTTGCAAACAAGTTGTTTGTTTACGTTAACTAAGTAATAACGTCGATAATTGTATAGGCTAATGTTTTAACAATCTTTGAGTTATACAAATAGGAAAGTTACCCATGTTCAGATTAACATAGTTTTAGTGGCAAATATGACATAATATGTAAGAAAGTAACAACTGTTATCAAATTTTTTGATAGCGTTTTGCAATTAAAGCTGCAACAAAGACTGGAGACTGTAAATAAGCCAAGGTACAGGAAAAGGGGTCTGCTATCACAATTTTTTTCAATATTTGAAGAGACCTTTCAAATGAGCATGGCTTATGTCTTAACAATTTTCCTTGCAGATATAGATCAAAAAACAGATTTGAATTTAGCACATTTTCCTCTTAATCTTGGGCACTTCTTTGGCTGACCTGCAGCACAATTTTTATTTTTGTGATAAGACGGGTTTACCTGTGTTGAGGCTCAAATATTGAAGGCAATCTTTTCAGAATAACATGCCAATGTTTCCCTTACGATCTTAATTTTCTAAACTGAAATGTTTTCTGATCAAATCTAAATGAATTTTGAAGATTTAAGTTGCAGAGCTGTCCAATTTATAAGAATTGAAAAAGTCTTCTTTAATTTGTACCAAATAAACCTTAAAGTTAAATGAAATCCTGAAAAATAAACAGAACTGTTGGACAAGCAAGAAATATTATGAAATTGTATTAGTTTGTCTCTAGTTTTTGTTGCACCTTTAAGGGTCAGGATGTTTTCACATTTCATCGTGATATGCATATTTTGTATATTGTATGTAACATGTACAAGATACTTTCCAAAATGTCATAACTATTTGCTGAAGTTTTGTTTGCTTATTTTTATGTCAGAATGTCAGATTTCTATAAATATATATATATACAAAGAGTACAGTAACGTGGAAATGTACATATACTGTATTAATGTCAAATGCATACCATTTTTCTAAAGTATTGTTCTTCATGAGCAGCCTCCATTTTGCCAAAGGAACCACCAGCCTCTCTAAAAATGCAACAAAATATTTACTTTTTATTCTCATGCAGCAAATATGTTCTAAGTACACTCAAATACATTGAAGTCAACTTAGTGATGGTGTCCAAATGTCAACAGTGGTAGAAAATGAAAATAAATCCCTCGCCCCTTTCACCATATAAGATGTTGATTTGCCTTTCACCTGATTTTTCAAAAATAACTTTATTAATGAAATCATCATAGTCCAACTGTCAGCATTTGGAGAAAACCCCCTACCTTTTAAATAAAGTTTGAAGCAATTATAAGACGCAAAATAATTCATTTCAAAGTTGATTTTTACTAATTCACATATTAAGGGAACTATCATTCAATGAACTATTCATTTATTGTTCATAGATATCTATATTTACCTTACAGATCCTCCACTACCTCCACCCTTTCCAGCTCCACTGCCATACTCCCCACTCATAGCACGGATGCCGAATCTAAAATCAACGCAACACAGCATTTTTAAACTTCATACTTGTAGCTCATAAGCCATGCAGTAAAAACTTGTTGGAATGGCACATGTACTTGAGTGTGAGTGAGGTTAATACCTCTTACTCTACAAGAGATTATGCAACACTTCAATTCTATTTCATTATATTACAATACAATTTAAGCTTCTAGACTCCCAAGAAGCATAAGCTGTAGTGTGATGTCATATCTATACTCTATAGTTCAAAATAATCACTAAAAATAGGCTGCATTTCACTGGAAAGTATTTTAAAGTGCAGTATATTTATGATTTAGTAATAACAAAGTAAATAGTTGGCATACACAATGCATATAACTGTACATTCCTGCTAAAGTATCCACACGCAAGTCAACCATTTGCCAATAAAAAACAAGAATTATGAGAAAAAATATAGATTACAATCTACAGGGTGGGCCAAAAACCATCATTTTTAAAAAAACATGTATATGTATTTTAAACAACAAATGAAAGGATAGATTCCTAAAAAATAGAGAAATGAGGTTTATAAAATGAGAAAGGATCAGAATTGAACCAGTCAGTACTGTGAACCATCAATAGGATATTAAGTTATAAAGATAGGATATTAAGTTATAAAGCTTAATTTCTTTAAATATGAAAGCTTGACAAAAATTGCTAATGTGGTTCTGTCTTACAATTGTTTGGTAAGGAAACATCTGTTCAAATATGGTACTAATAGTTCAGAGGTTTAGGATTTAAGAATAGGCATATACACATGCTGTATGTCTAAATCCATAAGACTTGAAAAGGGGACAATATATTTAATAATCCTTTTCATAGATCAAAAATCAAAGGATAAGTAACCCTTATTATGTGTTAAAAATATTTTGACAAGCTTAAAGAACAGGTCCATTTAACAGACTATTGGTCTACTTAGACTTTTTCTGAAAAACTCATTCTTCCATTTATTTTTAAAACCGATTACAAGTTGTAGATAAACCTTTGTTCTTGAGATGTGCAATTGCAAAAAGTGGCATAAGTTTTCCGTTTCTTTGAAAAATTGGCAGTAAGAACCCCTATCACAAGGCTGTCTGAATATGGGTACACACTATGTTTATCATCAAAATAATTTCAAAACTTATCATTATATAGAATTTAATATATGGAACATATGGCATACAAGTATTCGGAGAAGAAAATTGATAAAATCAAGCTATGTATGTAGTTCAACTATTCAAATCTAGAAATCATTGTCATTTTTTGTTCACTTTGTTATTAAGTTTTAGCATGGTGCTTATTCCCTTTCATTGAAAAGTTAACTGTCAGCCCACACTCCCACAAAAAAATATTGAAACTGTATAATGCAGAGACTGTAAAGTAGCTTCTCTGCAAATATCATTTTTGTGGGAATGTGGGCTCACCACTAAAACTTAACTTTTGTGATGAAAATAAGCCTGACTCGTATATGTTTTCATTATGGCTGCTAACCTGGGCATACATGTACACTACATAACTGCATGTACAGATTAGGCCATCCAAAATTAATTATATGTTGGCATTCTGATGAAGAGCCTTATATTAAAAACTACAAAATCTTCATTTATTTAAAGGGTTTTATATATTATTAATAGTGAAAATGCAATAACACATTGTGGCAAAGCAAGTAACACACCTCTTGAGTTCAGATGACTTTGTTACCCCCCTATCACACCAAACTAGTTCTTACCCATTCTTGCCAGTCCTACGAAAACGTCGTAAAACGGGCTCAATCTGGCTGAGGTCGGGAAATATGTCTAAAATAATTAGCTACTACGTTCATAAACAGTCTTCAATACGTCCATCTCATTCGCAGTTCATTCAGGTCACACCACGTCAGTGTGCAACGTCGTGTAACGCGTCCCTTAGTCTAGAAGGTCATCATGACCTGATTACAGAATGGTATGGTCGCCATCAGATTTTGAATCGATTCAAAATTCTAAAATCACCTTCCCGTCTGAGAACGTTAGAAAGTTGCAGCTACGTTCATTCCGTTCGCACACAGTTTAAAACCAGTTTTGAAGAACGCAGTGACAACTTGTTTGGTGTGATAGCTATATTTTTGCGAACTCGTTCATAAGCAGTCTTTAATACGTTCATAGTCAGTTTAAACTCGTTTGCAATTAGTTCTCCCTCGTTCTCAATATGTCCTCAGACAGTTCAACTCGTTGTCAAAACGTCCGTAGTAGGATTGAAGTACGACGGTTCTGTTCGTAGTACGTCCAGCTCGTCGTTAGTACTTTATCACTCGTTCTAATTGTAGAACGTGATGACCACGAGAACATTTTGAGCATGTTCTAAGTTCTAGAGGACCTACCCATTCGAGTATATTCGATGAAGTTTGTAAATAGACCCCAAACGGTTCTAAGTACGTCCAGTCCATTCGTACACAGTTGAAGCCCGTTTTTTAGAACGTAGAGATCTCTTGAGAGATAGCTTATAGCAAACTAAGTACAAGTAATTAATTTTCATGGCACCTTAACTTCCATCATGGCACCTTCAAAACTGAATTCAACCAGTTTTTAGCAATAAACAGAGGAAACGTGGGAGGAACAATTGAATAAGACTGTAATCACATTTACTTTATAAGAAGTTGGTGTTACTGTCTCATAACTGTCAACATTTTCTTAGTCTAAACTAAAATGTCAACAACATGTCTCAAGGTCATTCAAAATTTTCTACATGTATATGCATGATTTACACGAGCAGTCGAGCAGTCAGCCACTTTCAATTTGTATTCCAGGTAATAGCTATTGCACATGTCCTTATCACGAAGTATGATCTCTCAAATGCTATGTACAGAGTTTGAAAGTTGAGACTGCTGCAAATGATCTGTGGTTCAAAACCGCTTCATACTTCACAATTTGACTTGACAGTCTGTGATAACATCTCATAAGTTAAAATCAGCAAAAATTATAAGTCACTAAGTTGGAGGACAGGGAGACGATGTTTGCCTGTAGGTAATTGTTGGGCAATAGAGCCCATGGTCAGACAGTTACCTTACAGCTTATGGATGACACTGCCCCACTTTATGCCAACTAGTTTGCTTCAAACATTAGACATGCATACTATGTGCAAACTTACTATAAATGATTTTCACAAAGCTTTATGTGACTACTGCCAGACAGTGCCATCTATACTATAGAGTGAGTATCTATCTGACTCATGACTTTCAATTTTAGGTCGAAAACATGAAGAATGGGGTATCAGTTTGAATAGTATTTTGGAAGCAATAGCAATGGTGAATCATTATTTATCTTGTGAAAAGTTACATCATTCATTTACCTTGCTATTTGAAGCGAATTTCTGCAGGAAAAGAGACGCAATGCCATTTTATTTTTATTTCGACGAACAGACTTTTGGTTTGGCAAAACTGCCCTAATTCACGTCACCATACTAGTCAATGGGCAAAGGGCAAACGCCTGACTTTTTATCTCGAGTTATGGATTTATGTGGCCTCACTGGCCTATCTGAGGTTCTAAAGCTATGTCTAAGCTACATCTTGACACTAAACTCGATAGGGGCCAATCATCTACTTTTTGAAATAATTGGTCAATTGTGACACTACCCCCTCTCTCTGCAGACACAAATTGAAATTCACAAAAATGAAGGCAAAATTAATACGCCACTTGACTCGAAATTTTCCTTCAGATAACCCAAATAAACGCATTTTCAGAAGAAATGGCATGTTGCCATTGCAAAAAGATTACAACTGTGCCTACATACTAGCTTACTGACTCGTCATGATCACATTTGTGTTGGGCCTACATTTATTTTTGAATACTACTTTTTTCTATTCAGCGGAAGTGACGTATTAGGGCATTTTGGCCTAATAGCCACATGGTTGGATGATTTCTGGCTTTAAATTGCGTTTTTCCAATTTACTAGAGTTTTTCAAGTAGTTTTGTGCAGTTTAAGAATATTCTGACAGCAATTATGAAAAATATGGCTACTTCATTACCCCTGGGGTCATTTTTCCAAGAACCCAATGGTTTTCCTTTAAATTTGACTAGTTTTTCATTTACATCATGAAATCCACTGCCTGATGGTGACATTTTTCAGTATCGTGTCAAGAATTTGAGTATTTTATTGCATATTGCAATTTTTAGCCAAATCACTGAACCGTGAACCAGAAAATTGGACAAATTTGACCCACTTTTTGGCAAAATCTTACTAAAATCATCACTTTTTCATACTTTATTCCATTCAACAACCTCCTGATTTGAAAAATGATGACAAATTTGATCAGTTTTGACTCTGGCCTAGAGAATTGGGACTTTTGAGATATTTTTAGCTCGAATGTAGTCATTCAGAGTGAACAAATACATCAAAAATTGACACTTAACTCACCAATTTCTGACTGCACCCCCGATATGTACCTTCTTTCTATACTGGAAACCATAAGATGGGAAATTCAATCTTTATGATGAATAGCAACTCGTTGGCTTCCCCATTTACGACAACAAATGACATTTAGGGGTCACTAAGGACAAAATTGTAGCCAAATATCGTCAAAATCAAGGGTTTTTGGGGTAAAAAGCGAAAACTGATGATTCAGCAAAAACATTAAATTTGTTCATGAAAATTCCCCTTTTTGCCTCCGTCCAAAATATGTTTCACACTAATAAACTTCAATTCTGGTTGATTCTGAGTAGTTTTAAAAAATTTTGGTCACTTTCACATGTGACTAATAGGCAAAACTGCCCTAATTCACGTCACCATACTAGTCAATGGGCAAAAGGGCAAACGCCTGACTTTTTATCTCGAGTTATGGATTTATGTGGCCTCACTGGCCTATCTGAGGTTCTAAAGCTATGTCTAAGCTACATCTTGACACTAAACTCGATAGGGGCCAATCATCTACTTTTTGAAATAATTGGTCAATTGTGACACTACCCCCTCTCTCTGCAGACACAAATTGAAATTCACAAAAATGAAGGCAAAATTAATACGCCACTTGACTCGAAATTTTCCTTCAGATAACCCAAATAAACGCATTTTCAGAAGAAATGGCATGTTGCCATTGCAAAAAGATTACAACTGTGCCTACATACTAGCTTACTGACTCGTCATGATCACATTTGTGTTGGGCCTACATTTATTTTTGAATACTACTTTTTTCTATTCAGCGGAAGTGACGTATTAGGGCATTTTGGCCTAATAGCCACATGGTTGGATGATTTCTGGCTTTAAATTGCGTTTTTCCAATTTACTAGAGTTTTTCAAGTAGTTTTGTGCAGTTTAAGAATATTCTGACAGCAATTATGAAAAATATGGCTACTTCATTACCCCTGGGGTCATTTTTCCAAGAACCCAATGGTTTTCCTTTAAATTTGACTAGTTTTTCATTTACATCATGAAATCCACTGCCTGATGGTGACATTTTTCAGTATCGTGTCAAGAATTTGAGTATTTTATTGCATATTGCAATTTTTAGCCAAATCACTGAACCGTGAACCAGAAAATTGGACAAATTTGACCCACTTTTTGGCAAAATCTTACTAAAATCATCACTTTTTCATACTTTATTCCATTCAACAACCTCCTGATTTGAAAAATGATGACAAATTTGATCAGTTTTGACTCTGGCCTAGAGAATTGGGACTTTTGAGATATTTTTAGCTCGAATGTAGTCATTCAGAGTGAACAAATACATCAAAAATTGACACTTAACTCACCAATTTCTGACTGCACCCCCGATATGTACCTTCTTTCTATACTGGAAACCATAAGATGGGAAATTCAATCTTTATGATGAATAGCAACTCGTTGGCTTCCCCATTTACGACAACAAATGACATTTAGGGGTCACTAAGGACAAAATTGTAGCCAAATATCGTCAAAATCAAGGGTTTTTGGGGTAAAAAGCGAAAACTGATGATTCAGCAAAAACATTAAATTTGTTCATGAAAATTCCCCTTTTTGCCTCCGTCCAAAATATGTTTCACACTAATAAACTTCAATTCTGGTTGATTCTGAGTAGTTTTAAAAAATTTTGGTCACTTTCACATGTGACTAATAGGCAAAACTGCCCTAATTCACGTCACCATACTAGTCAATGGGCAAAAGGGCAAACGCCTGACTTTTTATCTCGAGTTATGGATTTATGTGGCCTCACTGGCCTATCTGAGGTTCTAAAGCTATGTCTAAGCTACATCTTGACACTAAACTCGATAGGGGCCAATCATCTACTTTTTGAAATAATTGGTCAATTGTGACACTACCCCCTCTCTCTGCAGACACAAATTGAAATTCACAAAAATGAAGGCAAAATTAATACGCCACTTGACTCGAAATTTTCCTTCAGATAACCCAAATAAACGCATTTTCAGAAGAAATGGCATGTTGCCATTGCAAAAAGATTACAACTGTGCCTACATACTAGCTTACTGACTCGTCATGATCACATTTGTGTTGGGCCTACATTTATTTTTGAATACTACTTTTTTCTATTCAGCGGAAGTGACGTATTAGGGCATTTTGGCCTAATAGCCACATGGTTGGATGATTTCTGGCTTTAAATTGCGTTTTTCCAATTTACTAGAGTTTTTCAAGTAGTTTTGTGCAGTTTAAGAATATTCTGACAGCAATTATGAAAAATATGGCTACTTCATTACCCCTGGGGTCATTTTTCCAAGAACCCAATGGTTTTCCTTTAAATTTGACTAGTTTTTCATTTACATCATGAAATCCACTGCCTGATGGTGACATTTTTCAGTATCGTGTCAAGAATTTGAGTATTTTATTGCATATTGCAATTTTTAGCCAAATCACTGAACCGTGAACCAGAAAATTGGACAAATTTGACCCACTTTTTGGCAAAATCTTACTAAAATCATCACTTTTTCATACTTTATTCCATTCAACAACCTCCTGATTTGAAAAATGATGACAAATTTGATCAGTTTTGACTCTGGCCTAGAGAATTGGGACTTTTGAGATATTTTTAGCTCGAATGTAGTCATTCAGAGTGAACAAATACATCAAAAATTGACACTTAACTCACCAATTTCTGACTGCACCCCCGATATGTACCTTCTTTCTATACTGGAAACCATAAGATGGGAAATTCAATCTTTATGATGAATAGCAACTCGTTGGCTTCCCCATTTACGACAACAAATGACATTTAGGGGTCACTAAGGACAAAATTGTAGCCAAATATCGTCAAAATCAAGGGTTTTTGGGGTAAAAAGCGAAAACTGATGATTCAGCAAAAACATTAAATTTGTTCATGAAAATTCCCCTTTTTGCCTCCGTCCAAAATATGTTTCACACTAATAAACTTCAATTCTGGTTGATTCTGAGTAGTTTTAAAAAATTTTGGTCACTTTCACATGTGACTAATAGGCAAAACTGCCCTAATTCACGTCACCATACTAGTCAATGGGCAAAAGGGCAAACGCCTGACTTTTTATCTCGAGTTATGGATTTATGTGGCCTCACTGGCCTATCTGAGGTTCTAAAGCTATGTCTAAGCTACATCTTGACACTAAACTCGATAGGGGCCAATCATCTACTTTTTGAAATAATTGGTCAATTGTGACACTACCCCCTCTCTCTGCAGACACAAATTGAAATTCACAAAAATGAAGGCAAAATTAATACGCCACTTGACTCGAAATTTTCCTTCAGATAACCCAAATAAACGCATTTTCAGAAGAAATGGCATGTTGCCATTGCAAAAAGATTACAACTGTGCCTACATACTAGCTTACTGACTCGTCATGATCACATTTGTGTTGGGCCTACATTTATTTTTGAATACTACTTTTTTCTATTCAGCGGAAGTGACGTATTAGGGCATTTTGGCCTAATAGCCACATGGTTGGATGATTTCTGGCTTTAAATTGCGTTTTTCCAATTTACTAGAGTTTTTCAAGTAGTTTTGTGCAGTTTAAGAATATTCTGACAGCAATTATGAAAAATATGGCTACTTCATTACCCCTGGGGTCATTTTTCCAAGAACCCAATGGTTTTCCTTTAAATTTGACTAGTTTTTCATTTACATCATGAAATCCACTGCCTGATGGTGACATTTTTCAGTATCGTGTCAAGAATTTGAGTATTTTATTGCATATTGCAATTTTTAGCCAAATCACTGAACCGTGAACCAGAAAATTGGACAAATTTGACCCACTTTTTGGCAAAATCTTACTAAAATCATCACTTTTTCATACTTTATTCCATTCAACAACCTCCTGATTTGAAAAATGATGACAAATTTGATCAGTTTTGACTCTGGCCTAGAGAATTGGGACTTTTGAGATATTTTTAGCTCGAATGTAGTCATTCAGAGTGAACAAATACATCAAAAATTGACACTTAACTCACCAATTTCTGACTGCACCCCCGATATGTACCTTC